GATTCTTAAATAATGGAGATTGATTGCGTCCTAAACAGAACACAGAACCATTGTTAAACTTATTGGCTCTTTTTGTCACATCAATTGTGATTTCTGGACGGTGGTGAGGGTAGGGTTGAGTGGGGAAAGAAGCGTCAATATGGAGTGGTGTAGCTTCCATTAAGCTAAGGTGTTTTAGCCGCTGTAGGCCTAGTCTTTATAAAAAGATTTAACACTGTTTGGATTTTTTTTTTGCTGCACCACTTTCACCACCCCTAAATAGATTCTGCACTATTTCGTAGGCCTATTTTTAATGTGACTGCTGTATCCTTGATATTCAAGTACAGAGAAGGCTACAAAAAAGATAGATGATGTTAAGAACATATTTATCATAAAAGTGTACACTTGTCAACAACTTGAGGATAAAAAAATACCCTTTCTGGCATTTTAGACCTTTGAAACAACTGTTTGAGAGAAAGATCTAGGCCTACTCAAAACCAAAGGGCAATTTCGCTACCATAATAAGAAGTCATATTATTATTATTATTATTATTATTATTATTATTATTATTATTATTATTATTATTATTATTATTATTATTATTATTATTATTATTATTATTATTATTATTATTATAAATATTATTATTATTATTATTATTATCATTATTATTATTATTATTATTATTATTATTATTATTATTATCAATAAAATACCGTTTTATAAATTTGATTGTCAATAAATCCTATATTAAAATATAGACCTAGCATTGTTAGACTTGAAAACCCGAAAAACTGTTTGAACTCCCTGCAGGGCCATCCCCACCCCACCCCCTGACGATGATAATGTGTGATTGATGGTGAGTTTGATTTAGCAGCACGGCCAGGAAAACAATTTTGTAAAGACAGTGACAGTGCGGTAATATGAAGCGCGCCCTCTTTAACGTTTATATTATAAAACTTTTTTTTTTTCTACGCGTCCTTATGCCACTATACCGATAAAACCTCGATTTGAAGCCCTGGCTTTCTTTTTCCCCCTTTGTTTTGCCAACTTTTCATAGGCAATTTTAAAGATGGTCTACTTTTCTAGCCTACTTTTGCAAAGTAAAGACGAGAACTTCTTTTCAAAATGAATGCTTTAAATTTTGTGAATTTGTACAATAAAACAATAAATACGCCACTGTAACATATCAATTTGTATCACGGAGAGTATTTAACTGGCATTAAATCACCCAAACTACTTTATAAACTAAGCTTGTATTTAATTTATTTGGTTTTCTGAAATTCATGTACAGTATATGTACTGTACTATCTCGAGAAAAGAAGCTTGTGCTATCTTGAAAAGAAACCAATGAGCCTTTTTCGAGATGGGCTTCTTAGCTTTTCGAGGCTAATATTTGCAAACTAAAGAGGGCGGGGCTTCAATATTATTCGAGAAAGGCTTCATCTCGATATTAGGGAACAGTAATTTCACTGTTTCCTGTCGAGATTAAGCCCACTGGGCTTCAATTCGACGTTTTACGGTATACTATATACTATAGGCCTACCGTAAACGTCTGATAGAAACATTGGGTCACTTTTGGTGTCTAGGGTGGATTACAATTAGAGTGTGGGTTACCGATAAAGTACTGGGTCACTATTAGTAACCATAAAATAATGATATCTTTGAAAATAATAACCCAACAATTTTTTTATAGGCATAGTAGCGTTATCATCTGTAGGCCTATAACATAAAACAATGTGCTATGTCTTGGTGGATGAATCAACATCAATACTAAATGCTGCAACTTATGTGCGAAGAAGGCTTGCAAAGGAAAACCTATCAGGTACTTGGGGCAAGCCTGCTCGTGAATAACGCGGTGGTAGACATTTCCATTCATTCTACCTTATGTCTACCCCACCTGTTATGTTCCTACATTTGGAGACCTTGGCGGTCGGCTTTTCGATTAGGGATCGGAACAAACTGTACCGTACGACTAAATACCGGTAAATTTAATTCAATAGAAGAATGGAATACCAGTATTGAAAATATTGATTTGACTGCCATTAGGCCTATCTAATTAATATGTATAATTATAATATGAACATTTGACATCCTAATAGTAATCTCACTGGGTTACTATTAGAGTGTAATCAAACATAATGAAATATATATAAGTAGCCTCCAGTGTATGTATATAATATATAATGTCACAGTTTATAAAATAGGGCACAAACATCAGTGGGTGTTAATAAATTCCCATCGATAGAGGCAGTGGTGGTAGCACTGACCACTGAATTTCAGAGACCACTTTTAACCCGGGTACGCTAAATAAAAGTACTGTATTGAAGTCAAGTAAATAAAATCACGTGCACGCACATTAGTTACCAGCCGTCTCGCATCGTGCGGGACGGTCCCGCATTTTAAAGTGATTTTGGATAAAACACGCATGTTGAAGAAACACATGGGTGATCATAAATTTATCGCGCATTTAGCACAAGTCATTTCGTGATGACGAATTATCACGAATTTCCAGGGGAAATGTATTTGAAATTAGAAGAAACTGGTTTTATTAAAAATATTAAATGCGGTGTTTGATTCATTAGAAGGCTTTGGTTATCTCGTTGGAGAATCAATTTACCGAGAAAATTTCTCTTTCTCGACCAATACAAACCCAGCCAACAACGACTTAGTAGAATCTGGAGGCACGTGCGGTCTTGCGCGGTCACCCCAACCGGCGCTCCGCCAAACTCACAGTATTCTCTACACACTTTTCTTGTTGCAACACAATGGCTAAAGTAGGCCTACAATCCCGTTCCCGGTTATTCATGTTTCTAATATTTAACTGTAATTCGTATTAAGATGCAAAATTACAATATTTTAAAACATGATGAAACTATTGTAATTTTAAAACATGATGAAACTATTGCAAAATTACAATAGTTTCATCATGTTTTAAAATGTTCTGTATAATGAATAAACTGCTACAAAACAATGTGATGTTCATTTTGGTTCTTTAATTCCATAGAAATTTCACTTGATTTATACATTATTATTTGAGAGCAAACGGGGTGAGGTCACGTAAGATAGCCATTTATATTGTAAGATTTTTTTCTCCGGGGGCCCTTCGCGGCCCCCTGGCCCAGCATTTGGTTCCTCGCTTCAATCAGAACAATTGTTCCCCCACATAATATCACGGACCCACACTGCCCCCCACACACACACAGAAATATTCTGGCTACGCCACTAGCTCAGCACCTGGACCCCGGGCCCTGTTTCCCCATCAGGTGTATAATCACGCATTTCAAATCTCTCAGGTTGGTATACTATGCACACATGTAATGGTAGTGAATGGACGGCGTGTTTACTTTTGAATTGACGAGAAACAAACACGGCATCGTGATAAAATTAAAGACAAATTGCTACTTGACTCAATGCTGAAATATCATGGAGTTTAGCTACAGGTTACGACAGCTTAAAATGAATAGATTCCATAGAGAATTCTTTATTGTTCGGCAAGAGCAAACCGCTTTGAAGAAAGATATGCATGAATGGACGGAAAGAGCCAGGTTGCAGTTACGCATGCGCGCAGACTATTTATCGCCTGCAAAAGAAAGTGCCGTGATTTAAAAAAGAACGTGTTTTGACTTATGGAATTGATTGTGTTCGTTCCAGCGGTTAGTGCTACTACCACTGCCTCTAATACGAAGTTTAATATTCATATTCGATGGGAATTTATTAACTATCACTGATGTTTGTGCCAATTTGGTAAACATGAAGCAGTTTGGGACGTTATTTGCACTCTACGTTTGTTTTACAGGTAGGCCTCTTTTTCCATTGGACGTAAATGTTTTGTTAATGGACCTACCTAGTCCTAAAGTACCCCACGTTCGGTTTACGCTGTTTATGGGGTTGTCTACCACTAGCGTTACCAATGATCTGGAGTTTGTTAGGAACTTTACTAATCTGTCTTTAATATTTATTTAACTGCCTAGTCGATTTCAATAATTGAAATAGTATTATAATGCATATTTAGTAATTGCGGCACTATGAAGCGTTTAACTTAATGAATGAGTGTGTGAAGGAAAGCTGTGAGACAAAGTAAAGACAAGTAAATAGGCAAAAACTGAATGCGATTTCAGTAGAGCCCAGTCCTATGGTTTTGTTACAATTAATTTTTTTTTACAGTGAATATACAGTAAAACACATTTAGCATTTCCAAGGGGTCCAGTTGTTTAAACTATGCCTATACTACACTATACTATTATTGTTATATAGTGGTGAGAAGTTGACATTTTACTACCTACCTGTGCCTTTTTGCTTTTTATTCGCAAACAAAATTTAAGAGGACCAGCAATAGTAAGAGTAATAGGCTAGCTCATTTACAATGATTGTTACTTTTTAAAATTATATTCACTATTACCACATACTTTCTAATTTCATTGCTCACTCAATGCTTATTTGCAAATTAGTAATTTGTTAACAACTTATTAAAATCAATAAAATGCATATTAAAAACAAATGATGACTTAATTGCTCAATTAATAAGTGATGTTATTTTTATGGGGTTTAATGTTTAATACATTTTTATTAAAAATAAAAAAGAAACCCAAATATCTGTTAACTTAAAGAGGCCTGTGTGTGTATAATGTTACACCAAAGAAAGTTTGACTGAAATCTGAAAAAACATTCCAATAAAATAGACCTGCTTCTACATTGACATTGCCTATGTTCGAAGCATTTCAGTGTTTGGTCATTAATATAGGCCTACTACTGTTACAGTTAATAGTGCAGAATACTGGCAACATTTAAAGCACAATCAATAGATTCTATCTATTGTTCCAAAACAATCTATGGTTTGTGGAGTAATACAGGACGTGTTTTTTCTATGGTGTTTTGAAGCTTGGTCTATGAATGAGTAGTTAACAGCACTAAATTGCCCTGTCGCCAGTTTTCTTGCTAAATATCTGACTATTGTATCATCTTTTCTGTTGCTCTTTGTGTGGATTAAATAAATGGAATTTGTTCAAAAACCAGTATTAAATAATAGTGATAGTTTTTTTTATGTAGGAAGTCAGTGAAAACTGATTTTATATATAATGAAATAGTTAAATTATATCTTATTGTCAAATATTTCACAATGTAAATTATTTTATTTTTTATTTTATTTCAACAATATTTTTTGAGGGTGGTCCATCCAGCAGAGCTGATCAACGGGACCCTCAGACATACAATAAGAATGAAAGATGAAATCAAACAATATCTTTAACGTAACAAATTAATTGAATAAAAACAAAAATGAAAATTAAAAAAAAGTTTATAAAAAATTGTTACTTTAATAATTCAAAATAAGGGTATGAATATCTTTCAATATCTTACAAAGTTCACCTTATGAAGACAGTTAGGAGTGTGTTGAATAGAAAGATTACTATTTTCTGTAATGAAGAATTTAAAGAATAAATCTTTAAATTTTAACCAGTAACCTATCATTAGCCAGTATTTGTTTAAGTCATATTATGTATCATATCAATATCATTTATTTCACCAGTAAAAACAATTAAAATAGTATGGCTGACTGGCTGGATTGCCAGGCCTACAAGTATTGCTCAGTTACTGTCATTGAGTTCTCCTGGCAGCGCACACAGATCAAATATACATAATACATTTGAATATAAAAATACATAAATATAAATAAACCATCTCTTTTAAAAATTTCATTTAAAATATGAAAGTTACTAAAGGAAGAACTAATTTACAACAGTGCATAAAATACATAAAAATACATTTTTAAAATTAATTACCAATAAAATGGAAAAAAAGTTTAAAGGTTATTTGAAAACGGATATAAGCTAAAAACAAGTTGCTGTATAATGAATTGCAACCCCTGAACCAGTTGGTCCAATTTTGCTACATCCCTGCACCCTGTGATATTATCCCCACCCCACCTTCCAGTGGTAATCCTAGATATAGCCCTGGATTTCATATTAACTTTGTAAAACAATAATTAGTATTTTATGTTCATAGGTATGTTACTGAATTATGAGTTTTTCAGCTATCGCACCGGGATCATGCAGTTCATCAAAATTCATTTCATCCTATACTAATTGATCTCTGGGGGACTTATGACAAATTGCTTTGATTCATGTTTTATAGATTGGTAAACAGTTGGTTGGAAACTAATGGATCTAACAGACTTGAAGTACCTGTTGTTTAGTGACCCTCTATAAGGAGAAAATCTATACAGATGTACTGTAGTGTTTACCTAAAATTTTGGAACTTAATTTCCCTCCCCCCGCCCATACAAATCCCTTCTCTGTCCATTTTATAGCAAAACTCCCATGTCATTTGTGGAGATGCTTTACCTAATATGATAAGTAACACTTGTAGTAGCATTATTTAAGGTACTTAATATGTTTGCATCACCACCCTATGAGCATAGGGGGAGGGGGAAGATTATTTAAAATAAATATATCTAATATTTCTAAAATAGGGCCTAAACACATTGTGCACTATAGTAAAAAACACCTCTTTTCATGTAAATGTAATAAAGTCTACTTCGTAAATACGTTCCTGGATACAACAACTAATTGCCTTCCAAATCTAAAACATTTTTAATTTAACTCAATGCTCCCCTGACAATAAAGAAGCACAATTATATTTCATACTGTAATTTTTTTGAATACAAAAAAAAAGAACAAATTGTCTGTTTTACCATAATAGGAAGGCTTTAAATACTTCATTTTGACAATACTTTAACATATTATTGTTAGAATCTTGGCACCAAAAACTAAGATGAGCATGTTTTTGCCTTTTTCAAACCATACTTTGTGCATTATTTAATCTATAATTTTTAATGCTAATGCTATAAATCACCAGTTCTTTAATCGGTAATTCCATGTATTGTTCGATGAAACAGACGTGGTTGTATTGAGAATCAAGCTTTTTTGAAAGTCAAGTTAAAAGGCCACAAAATCATACTTAAAAAAGGAAATATTTTTTATACCTTTCTTAGAAATTAAATAGAATCTGGGTTTATCATATTCGGCTTAACTCGTTGACTGCCAGGGGTGGATTGCTATAAAACGGTCTTAACTGGTAGTCTTAACTTCTCGAATAAAGCTGGCATTTCAATACTCAAAACGGTCTTAGGGAAGACTGTCTTATAGCAATGGTCTATAGAGGAATGACTTTAGTAAGACCGTCTAAGTGATAAAGCCAGCATCTACCCTGAACGACCAGCTGTTAAGTCTGTGGTCCTAACAATGTATAACAAAGACATAATAAACGCTAGAATGTTACCCCGATTTTGACGAGTATATTGTCTCTAGCGCCCTCGGCAACACCCTGTGGGACAAGAATACTTGTCGCTGGCAGCCAACATGTTATATTTCTGAAATTTGGTGTTAATGAAAGAAGCTTAGTGAAGTATGAGTATTATAACCCATTGAAAGGAATATTTGCGAGATGGAGTATTTGTGATGGCTGTACTTGTTCATTAGGGCACTTGTATTGTAGGTTAAAGTAGGTAATAAAAGTTAGAGCCATATTAGTCTAGAGCATGAAATCAATAGAGATATATGCGGAAAAATACAAGCGCCCCAATTCTCCCGGTAGTCGTGGGCGTCTTCTGGAAATCAAGACAGACTCCCACAAGCAAGCAAGAATCTGCTGCAAATTCATAATTGCATGACTTTTTACTGCTTTATTATCAATTGTCTCCTGAAAGTCAATGCTGATCGTTACCACCAAGACCAACAAAATAAAATAAGATGTTAAAAAAGCTCTTTTAACCAAATCTCCCGGAAGTAACTTCTTGCAACTTGTGACCCCCAACAATGAAGAAGCTTAATATTTTATACTGTATTTATTTCAATACAAAAAAAAAGAACAAAATGTCTGTTTTACCATAATAGGCAAGGCTTCACATGCTTAATTTTGACAATATACGCTACTGTACTTTATCATGTTATTGTAGAATCTTGGCACCAAAATCTGTAAGATGAGCATATTATTGCATTTTTCAAACCATAGTTTGTGCATTATTTAACCAAAACTTTTTAATGCTATAAATCACCGATTCTTTGATCGGTAATTCCATGTATTGTTCGATGAAACAGACATGGTTGTATTGGGAATCAAGCTTTTTTGAAATCCAAGTTGAAAAGGCCACAAAAACATACTTAAAGAAAATATTTTCAATACCTTTCATAGAAGTTGAATAGAATCTGGGTTTATAATTCGGCTTAAATTTCTAAAATTCGGTGTTAATAAAAGAAGTTTAACAGAGAGAATAGTGAAGTATGTGTATAACACTTTGAAATGAATATATCCGAGACGGCAGTATTTGTGATGGAAGTAGAGTACTTGTTCAGTAGGGCACTTGTATTGGGTGATTAGAGCACTTGAAGGCATAGGAGAGCATTCATTTTTTTTTTTTTGTAATAAGCCTACAACTTAGGTGTATAATATTGAACTATTAATAATAATAATAATAATAATATTAATAATAATAATAGGGTATTAATATCATGGAGAGAGGCTGATGGAAAGTTGGGGGAGGGGGTATTGATAGAAACTAGTTGGGGAAATGAGGTGATTACTAATTGAGAGTCGTTTATTTGGTTGGCAAATTTTCAGTGGTTTGTGCCCCCTGCCTATACTTGTTTTGTAAGTTACCACAGGGTTTATTTGAGGTTTGTATAACAGTAGGTAAATGGTAGATTTTAGAAGCATAATAATAATAATTGTACAGCAGTATATTACTGTAATATATTATAGAGGGTATGACATAAAGCATATCTACTGCACATATGGTACACA